TGAGGATGAGGTCGGCTAGAAGGAGCCCCGCGACAAAGAAAAAGCTACTGTGGTCGACCTAGAAGCCGCGACGGAAGGGGCTGGAGATGAGTTTGCCGACCTCTCCCCCCTAGCGTAGCCTTTAATGCTCTATCTTTTTTTGCTTTGAATTTTTGTAACCGGGCTACAAGCCCCGCCGCATGTACTTAAATGCTCAATTAATGAAAGTTTTTAGCAACTTATCTCGAGTATTTTTGCAATGTATGTTAAGTGTCTTCCCTGCAACCGCGCAATACGTGCTGGACAAAGTGAAACATAACTAGTCTACCCAGTGAAAATGACTTTCTGACTTGTGACCGAGCAAAAATCATAGATTTGAATAATTCATCAACTCAATTGACGGAGCAAAATCATCTCGATTAAAAAAATAGAGTTGAACACTTTATCAACTTAATTGGCCAAGCTAAATCATTTCGGCTAAAATCTTGGAGTTGAACAATTCACCAATTCAATTGACCGAGCAAAATCATCTCGGTTAAAAGAATAGAGTTGAACACTTCATCAACTCTATTGGCCGAGCTAAATCATTTCAGCTAAAATCTTGGAGTTGAACAATTCACCAACTCAATTGACCGAGCAAAATCATCTCGGTTGAAAAAACAGAGTTGAACACTTCATCAATTCAATTGACTAAGCAAAATCATCTCGGTTAAAAGAACAGGGTTGAACACTTCATCAGATAAATCATTTTGGCTAAAATCTTAGAGTTGAACAATTCACCAACTTAATTGGCCGAGATAAATCATTTTGGCTAAAATCTTAGAGTTGAACAATTCACCAACTCAATTGACCGAGCAAAATCATCTCAGTTGAAAGAACAGAGTTGAACACTTTATTAACTTAATTGACCGAGCAAAATCATCTCGGTTATAAGAATAGAGTTGAACACTTCATCAACTCTATTGGCCGAGCTAAATCATTTTGGCTAAAATCTTGGAGTTGAACAATTCACCAATTCAATTGACCGAGCAAAATCATCTCGGTTAGGGGCAATTTCCCCTTGTTCATTGCATAATCCATTAATCACAAAAACTTGGCTATGTATGGTGACTTTTTGCTATTACATTCATGAATTTACAAGGCAACGAGAAGAATTACATTGGTAAATCAAGAGGAATGCTTGCCTTTTACAAAAAATTACATTGAAAGATGGAAACTAAAAATAAAACAACTTCAGATTGGTTGCGTTCCATGGCCATGGTATAGCTTTGTCATCCAAGTTTTCCAGATGGTATGCCTCTTTGCCCGCCAGACCAATGATCTTGTAAGGCCCTTCCCAGTTTGCCCCCAGTTTTCCTTCGCCCGGCACCAGGGTGTTGCCCATCATTTTCCTTAGGACCCAGTCCCCAACTTTGAACGGTCTGGGGTGAACCGTTTTGTTATATTTTTGAGATAGTTCATATTAATATGTTGCGATACCGATCATGGCCTTTTCTCGGCGCTCTTCTACTAGGTCCAATTCTAAGGTAATGGCTTCGACGTTCAAGTCGGGCTCAAAATTTTCACTGCGGACTGTGGGCATACCGACTTCCAATGGAATGACTGTCTCCATACCATACGCCAAGGTGACTGGTGTCTCCCCGGTCGAGTGTCTTGGTGTTGTTCGCTAAGCCCAAATAACATTTGGGAGTTCCTCGACCCACTTTCCTTTGACTTTCTCTAATCTTTTCTTTAGCCTATCTAGAATGGTCTTGTTTGATGCTTCGGCTTAGCCGTTGGACTGAGGGTAGGCTGGGGTGGAATTATAGAATTCTATTTTTAGTTCCTCACAAAATCCTCTGAACAACCGCCCATCAAATTGAGTGCCGTTGTTGGAGATCGAAGCCTTGGGGACGCCAAACCGTGTTACCATATTCTGCCAAACAAATTTCTTCACATCATTTTCTTTAATTGTCACCAAGGGCTGGACTTCAACCCACTTGGTGAAGTAGCCCGTCGTTGCTATAAAGAACTTGCAATTGCCCGGTGCGGTTGGGAGTGGGCCCACTATGCCAAGCCCCACATTGCGAAAGGCCAAGGACTTGTGAGAGGAAGGAGCTCTCTAGCCGGCTAATGAATTTGGTGGGCGAACTTCTGGAACTTCTTATATTTTCTCATATATTTCTGTGTATCTGCCTGCATGCACGACCACCAATAGCCTTGCGAAATAGCGTGGTAAGCTAAAGATCTCCCGCCGATGTGGCTCCCATATATTCGTTCGTGGATCGCGTAAAGAAAAGCATCAACTCTGTTTGGGTGAACACATTTGAGGTATGGACCAGTGAATGATTTCTTATACAAAGCACTGGATGAAGAGAGCCAAAACCGCTCAGACTTCACCCGGATTTTGTGTGCCTCTTTCTTGTCGATCGGCAAGATCCTTTCATTTAGGAAAATGATGATAGGGTCCATCCAAGAAGGACCCAGCTCGGCACATAGAACTTCTGTTTGTTGTGAGTCTTCAATGTTGGGTCTTGGGAGGAACTCAATCAATAGAGGGCTGGGGGTTGATTTGTTGGACATGGAAGCTAAACTGGTTAACTCATCTGCCCGGCCGTTATATTCTCTGCCAATTTGTTGAACTCTTATGGCTTGAAACTTCTTGATCTACTCTCTCACCAGAGTTTGATATTTGGCCATTCTGACGTCTTTGGCTTCATACTCTCCAAATACTTGGTTTACAATGAGTTGGGAGTTGCTGTAGACCATTAGCTCGGATGCTCACAATTGGAGCGCAGTTTTTCAGCCCGGCTAACAATGCTTCATACTCGGCCTCGTTGTTTGATGCTGGAAACCCAAGTGTCATAGAATGTTCGATGGTTAGTCTGTCTGGTGAGATCAAAACTACGCCTAGCCCGGCTCTATACCGGTTTAAGGTGCCATCCACAAAAATTTTTCACATTTAGCCAATGAAAAGTTTCTAGCATTCTAAGGGATCCTGGGATGTTTGAAGGCTTAGACGATCATGGTTGCTCAGCTGCTCTGTTATTTCCGTTGCAAATGCATCGTTGACAATTACAACAAACGAGCCTTCATCCCCCCTTGGTGATGCGGTGCTAGATCCAACAGGTTGACTTGTTATTCCCAAATCCAACGTCGCATTGCCAGGCTGAACTAGACCTTCAAGTGATGGGTTTGTAGATGGGCACGCAACTTCCACGTCGCCATTAATTTCCACCGTGCTTACCCCTGTCAGCTCGGTTGCCTCGGTAAGATCCATCAGCAAATCGGATGAATTCCAGGCGAGAATTCCACAACAAAGTCGGCCAATGCTTGAGCTTTGATGGCAGTTCGGGGTTGAAACTTGACGTCGAACTGCCTCAACTCGACTGCCCATTTCAAAATTCTGTCAGAGAAGTCTGCCCGCTCAAATAAGGCTTTCAAAGGGAACTCGGTTAGCACCACGATCGTGTGAGCGTGGAAGTAATGTGCCAATTTCCGAGAAACCATCATTAATGCCAAAGCAAGTTTTTCCAGCGCCAAGTATCTCGACTCCGCTGGGAGCAAGGTTTTGCTTACGTAGAAGATTGGTAAATGTTAGGTGTCTTTCTATCCAGACGAGTACCGCGCTAACAACATGTTGAGAAATAGCCAGGTAAAGGTATAGTTCTTCACCGTGCTTCGTCATGACCAAGAGTTGGGCGGAAGACAAATATGTCTTTAGCTAGGCCAAGGCTCTTTCACATTCTTTGTCCCATGAAAACTTGGATTTCAAGACTAGGAAGAAAGGACGACAACGATATGATGACCGACTTATAAATCGGTTTAGCGCGGCTGCCATACCGGCAAGATGTTGCACGTCCTTTGTCGAGTTGGGTTGCTTCAATTCCTGTATGGCTCTGATTTGGGAGGGGTTTGCCTCGATGCCACGATTGGTGTCCAGAAAACCCAAGAATTTCCCTAACCCCATGCCGAAGGCACACTTTGACGCATTCAGACGCAGCTTGTGTTGTTTAAGAATGGCGAACATCTCTGCCAGATCAGCCAAGTGGTCGGCCTTACGTTTGCTTTTGACCACCATGTCATCGATGCAAGCCTCCATCATGCGAACGAGCAGTGGGGCGAACATCTTGGTCACTATTCTCTGGAAGGTCACCCTGGCGTTTTTCAAGCCAAAAGGCATGGTTTTGTAGTAGAACAATCCCCTCGGTGTTGTGAAAGAGGTTATCTCCAGGTCAGGCTCATGCATGGCGATCTGGTGATAACCGCGGTATGCATCCAAAAAACTAAGTCGACTGTGTTCGGCTGTAAGATCCACCAGCTGGTCGATTCTGGGCAAATGAAAACTGTCTTTAGGGCAAGCTCGGTTGACCATCTTGTAGTCAACACAAACTCGCCATTTTCTAATCTTCTTTGGTACCACGACCGTGTTAGAAACCTCAACAAGGGTAGTGCACTTCCTGGATTGCCCTTGCTTCGAGCAAGTTTTTGACCTCCTCTGCCGCTACCTCGACGTGATGATGGGCTGATCACCGCGTTCTTTGAATGACAGACCGGGCATCCGGAAAGACATTGAGTTATTGGCAAACAAAGTTTGGATCGATGCCAAGCATGTCGTAAGACGTCCATGCAAACACTTTGATATTTTCCACCAAGAACTTCACCATCTCCAGCCGTTCTTGGGCCGTCAAGCTGGATCACAACAGAAAGAACTTGTCTGGATTGTCTTCGCTGATCTGCACTTCTACAAAATCTTCAATAGCCTTTTCCTCGGCCCTAATGCCCATATCATTCAGGACACTTTGACCTTCTGGACCCTCGATCATTTGCACGAAGCCTTTGGCTGCTCGACTCCCATTCACGGCTACGAAACACTGCTTGGCCATGACCTGATCGCCCCAAATCTCTTCAATCACCCCCGTAGCAGAGGGGAACCGTATAACTTGGTGGTACGTCGACGCCACCGCCTGCATGGCGTGAAGCCATCCCCTACCTAGGATCAAATTGTATGTGGAGGGCACCTTTAACACCCGGAACTCCATCTACTTGACCACGGATCTGGCTTCGACTGGTAGGATTATCTTTTCCATGGGCCAGTCCGGTTGAAACCAACCAGTGGCAAAAATTGCTGGGGCCAAATCTGTATCTCTGAGTTTAAGCTGCTTGAAGGCATTGTAGTACATGATCTCGACCGAGCTACATTGGTCGATCAAAATGCGCTTAACATCAAAGTCCCTGACGCGAAGGGTGACCACCAGAGCATTATTGTGTGCCATTTGAATTCGCTCAAGATCCCAATTTGAGAAGTTTAGCACATTTTTCTCCTCAGTTTTGCCCCTTTTGACCGCGGACTGGACAGATAGGACTTCTCTCATATGTTCCACTTTTTTGATCATCCCTCGGAGCTCGCATATGCGCGCTGGCTCGATGATACCATGGATCACATTGACCACTCCTTGGGGAGGTGCTTCTAGGGCGGCCACACCACTTGGCCCAACCAGAGCATGATGCACGGCCTTGATGCCCTCGTCGATGTAATGGTTCAAGTGACCAGTGGTGACTAACTCCTCCAAGTGTTGTTTCAATGGTAAACAATCCTTCGTACGGTGCCCTCGTTCATCGTGAAAGGTACAGCGATACCACAGATTCTGCGCATCGCCCAACGTAGCCTGAAATCGGACGTACACCTCGTCGTGGATTTCGCTAAGGATGCGGTAAATTGGGATCTTAAAAATCGTGGTGATGCCCATTCGAGCATTCAACTTTCTACTCACATCTGTCGTGGCATCGCATGGGTAATCAGCTCAATCGTTGTGGCAACCTTTACCCTGGTTGCTACGATCTGCACCACGGCTGACTCTCTTGCACGATCACTCGGACGGTTTACCTCATGCTCGACCATGTGAACTTTTCCAGCCACCTTTTTGTCCCTTGCCATTAGATTCGCCTTCACGGTGGCCGCTGTTGCATCATTCTCTACTCGGATATGCTTGTTGATGCGCTGCATCAATAGCTTCATGGTAATCGGTTGGTTCATGGTGAGCGAGTCCCTCAGTCTATGTCCGACCAGGAGACTGCGCTTGTATTGGGTGATTACCAGGTTGGTCGGGCAATCAAGGATCTCGTTGAAGGTTTCTCAGTATTTGGCATTGCATGCTTTAAGGGAGTCACCCGGCTCCATCTTGACACTTAGAAGGTGGTCAACCTCCTTTGGTGTTAGTTTTGAATCGAGTCACAAATGCTTCCGCCAACTGCTGCCACCTTTCGATACTTTCCTTCGATAGCCTCTCAAACCACTTCAGGCCCAACTTGCCCAAACTTGACGGGAAAATAAGGCACATCAGAGCGCGTTACACTTGTATCCTGCTATAACCTGCCGGAAGTGGCTTACGTGAATGTATGGATCGATTTTACCGTCATAGAGCGTAAACTTAGGTTGGTGGAAGCCCACAGGGAGCGGCGTGGTCTCTATCTCAAGGGAAAAGGGGATGGCACTCAGCCTCGCCAAGTCCCTGTCTAAAGGGACAAGTGCAGCTAGCTGTGGTGGTGACATTACAACTTCCTCACTGGTGCAACCTCCATAGCATAATCATTGCAGTGCTGACACCCTTTGCGCGCTCTGTAATGCCCCAACTTCTAGGTTCTTTCATTAATCAAATCAACCTCAAATTTATAATTATAGATAACTCATAATCTCAAATATACAAACTGTCTCCAAAATATAAATTATAAAAATTTCCAAAATAATATATAGTTGTGGACTAAAAAATCTCCAACTCAAATAATCTTTTTAGATGCTTCAACTCCAATCGCTACTAAATTTGCTCCACACCTGAGAAATAAATTAATTCAGGAAGTATACAATACACTAGGAATAACAAGGCTAGGACAGAAAATAAATCAATAGAGATCTAACAATTACACAACCGATTAGATTCGATAATCAAGCAATTTACCAAATTGCACAAACAAGTTAACTCGACATATGATAATTTATCCAGAACCAAATACCCGGTCCTACTCGGTACATGACCAGTGACCCACCTCACCCACCTCACCCAAGCACAACCACTTATCTGAACTATTGGTCCAAGCTATTGGCAAGGTCTACTCGATCTATGTACGGAGCATTTGCACGTCATTTAGCCAGACAAATCAACACTGATTACACAGAACCACTTAATGAAATTTATCAAATGACTAGAGTAATGAAATGAATCAACAACAAATAATTCCACAGAATTTACCAAATGATCAGAATAATCAAGAGGAGTACAAATTTACGGTAATTAAAATAAACTCTTAGCAAAGAGATTTAGAGAAACATATTGCATACCACCCGAATTATCTCAAATCAATCTCCTTCGTCGCCAACACTCAAATCTCGATATTTCTCCATGGATCTCAAAATTCTAAGCCATAAGGTATGTAAGGGTTCACAAATCTACAACTCTCCTTCTTTATGAAAATGCTTGCTCTCACTTTAAACACTCTTAATCTAAACTCCAAATTTCTAAAATTTAAGAGAGAACAATATGAGAGATAGAGATATGGATGGACCAAGAAGAAGAATGATAGAAATAGTTGAGAGGTGAGCTCAATTTATAGGCAAGGATACTTGGGACAAAAGAAAAGAAAGACTTGGGGCCAAAGAAAGGAACTTTACTTGGTGGGCAAGAAAGGGATTTACTTGGAGAATAAGAAAAGAAACTTCCTTGAGGAGCGCTTGGGAACAAATACGCATGTTATTAGCGGGCAGTAACCATGGGTAACTAAGTTGGGAGCTACTAGGCAACAAAATTACAAGGCGGAGAGCAATTGTAAATTTGGACTAGTTAACAATCAAAGGCCAACAGGCAGAATATTTGCACTTCAAGGAGAAGAAAATGAACATCTCACTAAGCAGTATCTTGAGGAAGAGCAGTACACCACATATGAACCCAAGGAGCTGCAATACGAGCCATGGCTAACTTAGGAAAAATATAACTAGGATATTAGTTATAACTCTTTTAGATGACCTTTTGTAAAATGAATATAAACGATGTAAATTTCTTTTTGTTAATATAGTTTTAGAACTCTTGAGTACATGCTTTATTCATCATATTCTTTCATATCAGCTATGTGGATGTAAACCTTTAAGAATTGTTTGTGCGTTTGATTTTCAATCTCCAAGGCATGAATAGGTCCAACTCTAAAATCATCTTGGACACAAATTGATCGTCTGTACACCAATCGTGATCGGTGGCAACCAGAAGAATGAGACGAGTTACACATTCATTGGGACGCTTTTACTACTTAAGGCAGATAGACCAACTTCCCTAGTTACCACAAACCAACGAACGTAATGACACCAAAAACCTTGAGAATGATCATCAGAATACATTCATAATGTGTACGTGGACTACCACATCAGAAATTGGCAATAGGGGTTTTCACAATGAAGCAACGACATCATTACCTATACAACGAGTAGTTTATAATTTTTGCGAAAAAAAAATGATTAAAATACGTTGACAGAATCTACCTAGAAGCATAATGAGGCAATGCGGGTAAATTATCCACAATTTTTTGACAGTTTAAATTTCGGGGACGAAATTTGTTTAAGGGGGATAGGTTGTAGAGACCCTAATTTTTGTAATTACCATTAAATCCCTAACCATGAGTTTATTTCAATAAAGTCTTTGAATTTTCTCTTAATTACATTTTAAACCCTAGAATCGAGAAGTATTGCGGATTAATTCGAGTAAACCCTAATCGATCTTGTAGATTAATAATCACATTTAAAACCCTATTATTAATTATTAGACCCTATAATTATAGATTAATCACTTTAAAATCTTAATTCCCGGTAATGCCGTTTTTGTTCGGTTTCTCGCCTTTGTTTGCTCATTAATTTAACGGGACCCAAATTTATTATTCTAATTATTTTCTAATGTTAGTATATTGTATAATAAATATCAAGGTTTCAAAAATTTAGACTTGGTCCCTATATACTTCTATTTTATTTCATTCTAAACCTTAATTGTAATATTTTCTTAATTAATTTGCTTATGCCTATTATTTTATATTTATAAATACAAATATCTTATATATATATATATATTTCTTAGAGCCCAAGTTGTTGGTCATGTAATGGATGAAAGGGCCTTGATGGCAATTTTGACAAATTGCACTTATAGAACTTGGCTCCTAAGAAACCTCTCAATCCTTCTCTCTATTTATATGCACACTTTTCCCCCCTCATTTTACACATTTTCAGCCATGCACTAGAGGAGTGAGAGAGAGTTATCTTGGAAAGAGAGAGAGAGAGAGAGAGAGAGAGAGAGAGAGAGAGAGAGAGAGAGAAAGAAGAAGAAGAAGAAGAAGAAGAAGAAGAAGAAAAAAAAAAAGAATCGTGTTGGGTCTTGTACAACAAAGGTAAACATACATAACCTCTTCTCTCAAGTTCTTTTACCACTTGTTTTTTCCCTCCTAATACATGCTCTTTATATATATATATATATATATGTTGTAGTCTAGACCTGCACTCTTGTATAAATGTGTATTAATCAAGAAATTGTATGCTTCTCTTTCTTTCTTAAATTTCCAACAGCAAATCTTTTCCCTCTCTTGAATTTATTTTCCTATCAAAACTCCATAAACTCAAAATTTGTTTTTATGGTGTAATATCTGGTATGTCTGGAGTATGTGATAATTTTTGTAGGACCTAAGAATGTATTTTTATAACCTAAACAATTTTTCTAAGTTTGTTACTCACAGAACCCGAAAAACAGTCAACTTTCTCTATTTTTATAAAATTCCAGAAAAATAATCTTGAGTCCACTTTTATGTCAAAATCTTAATTTGGTGTTGTATTTTAACTAAAATTTTTTTGAACTCAAGAGAGTGAGGGGTTCGAGAGAAAAACCGATTTGCGTAACAGTCAACGAATCTGGACAGATTTTGGTAATTCTGAATTATCTTAAAATCTAAATACCTATCCTACTTTCATAAATTGAGTTTCAAACTAGACTTGTTTATCTACAAACTCACGTGAGGCCAGGAACTTAGGGCCAATAAAAGTATTTTTTCATAATTATTTTCAAACTGGTTCAAATCTGGAAATTTGTATTAATATGCTCTTATTTGGTTTGCAACTCTTATATTCTACATTTCTTGAATGTTTTAGTCTTTATATGTAATCTATGATAAATTGTGAATTTGATATACCATGAATAAATTACTTGTTATTTAGTTTGGATTCGTAATTATATTGACCATGCTTTGCTATAACTGAGAACATAATGCACTTAATAAAGGGGAAATCAAATGGGATGGTAATGGGTTGCAATCATTGTATTAAATTTTATGAGATAATGAACGATGGATTCAAGAGTATGATATAGTGGAATGTGTTCCATTTTTGTGAAGTCTTGCGTGAGTGTGCTTTCGAATCCTAACATGGCACGGGAGGTATTCTGGCTGCTTAACGGAAATAGAAGGTATAAGGGTAGTAGTGAGGGCCTCAGACAGGGAGAGTATCCTTGGAAGCCCGTTCCCTTGGGGTAGACCGTGATGTCACCATTTGAGGATATAACCCAGGTGCGTGGGCATCATTAGTAATTGTCCGGTAAGCGACACATTGGTGGTTATGTGGTAAGCGACACATTGGTATTATATTAACCAAGGGGGAGTCAGAATTTCCCGTGGCCAGTGTTAGTGGTTGGGTAGGAATGACATTCCGCGGGGGGTTTTCTAGAACTAACTCAAA